AGCCTAGATGATCTGCTCAGGTCCCTTCCGACCCTAGAAACTATGAAATTATGAAAACCGGAGGCATTGGGTTCTATTCACACACTGATTACCAGATGCTTCAAATGTTAACTATTATAATTATTTATAGAAAACCAACAGATCATAGCCACAGTTCATAGTTTTCGCTCAAGAGTTTATGTTGATTATATTGTAATTTGTTAGTTTTTACACTCCTGCAATTTTTTTCTATTAAAGCTTTCTAGAACACTTTAAGCATTTTAACCGGTGGTCCTTCTCTGAAACCCAACAAGTATCCCCATTTCTTTTCTGGCTTTTGGCTTCAAGGCCAAAAGATGCATACAATCTTGATTTCTTAATCTAAAGATATTCCTTAATGTGGGTTTTTGGGGTGTAATTTTTTTAAATAAAGAAAAAAAATATGAAGCATTGGTTCTGGAGCCTATACCTTAACAAATCACACATGCAGAATCATTGTGCATGGCCATTGACATACAATTACATAGAGAGAAATAAATTCAATGTAGTCTACATCACAAATAATAAAAATAAAAATAAAACTGCTTATAAAAATGAGATGAAAGAAAACTAATAATCACCCCTGAGGACAGCCTTAGTGTTTCCTTGATGTTATCAATATCTTTTCCTTCTAGTCAGAGTCTTGATTTTACAGCTAACACCAATGCCTTCGTCTCCTGAATACTGTTTTACATTAAGTGTTCATCTCTCCACGTAGTTTTAGTAGAACAGATGCATAAAAGCTCTGAAATTACTACCCACTAATAGAAAAGCAAGCAGTTACTTCAGCTTTCTTCTTTAAGCAAATGTTTAAGTAAGTGAAGTGGTATTACAGTGGGCAAAGCTTCCCAATTTTAAATAAAGCTGTCAAGCTAGTCTATATAATTAGAAAAGAAACTAGAACAGTTCCCCTCCTCCCTTGCCTACAAGGAATTGGCACTGACAAAGCACGTATATTTATATGAATTCTAAAACTAATCAAACACATGCGTGCCTTTGATTAAATGCAGCAGCTCTGGTATTTCAGGATAGGGTCAAAAGCCAGAACAAACTCTGTTCTAGATTTGGGAGTTCATACCTCAAAATGAACAGATAACAGAATCAATGTTTCCAGGCCAGGACAGATGGATTCACAAATGTACTACTTTTATTGTCACTGGCATATTAGTTTTCCTTCTGTTTCCCAAAGCAATAGAACATGAAGAGACTATTTGTACCCTTCCTACACTAGCAATAAATCACAGTAATTGTCTGGCTTATGTCAAAAATACATTTTTTCTTTGTGCCAATTATAAAAAGTTCTGTACATAAAATAGTGAAATCCGAGATAAAAAGCTAGGGCTAACATTTTTAGTCAATATTTAGGTGTCTAAAAATGGCTTGAATTTCAGAAAATACCTGAAGTGTAGAAAGTACTTGAGAATCACCTAAATCAGGTGCCTAAATACTGATTTAGAGGCCCAGGGGTTCATTCACACTGCTTTTGCGGTCATGGAGCAAGCTAGCCCTTTAATGAAGTACTGGCATCAGTCTCACTTGTCAATCAGTTTACTCCTCAGTCCAAGGGGAATACATGACTAACAACCAGGCCTACTATAGAATAAAGGTAGACTGAACTAAGGCAAGAGGAGTTTGGGGGCTTGCTGGGGAAGAGGCAGGTTGGTGGTAACTCTCTGTAACTATAAAGCAAATTGGAAAGACATGCAAGAAACAGAAGCCAGTCAGACAGAAGCCCCAAGGGAGCGGCAAAAGTATTGACACTGGTAGGACACACTTATAAGCTCAGGTTTAGCTATAGTAAATTACTTTTAAGTAAAGAGGAAGGCCTATATGGTTATTAGAGACTGCTGCAAATCAAAAGGAACAACTGAACCCAGAATACAGAATTGGTGATTTATAAACCATGTTTAGAATAGGAAAAATATTGTGAAGACTTAAGGTATAGCAGTTTAATGCGAGACAAAAAGTAAACTGAAGTGGCAGATGAAGCAGATAATGGATTCAGTGAACCCCATTACACACAACTCTGTTAAAATACGAAAATTAAATTGATTAAGTCAAATGATACAAGGTAGAAATTAACACCTGAGGCAGTGGACAGGCCTGACACTGGATTTGCTGAGTCCTATTACACACAGACTTAATTAAATGAGGAAAAAAAGAATAAAATTGGTGCAATGTCTTCATAGATGAAACTATACAGGTCCATACTGACTTGTTTTAGGAACTATGAAAGGAGATAAACACTACTCAAGTTAATCTGTGCAAAAACTTTATAAGCCCTAACATTAGGTTTCTAAGATAAATTTGGGCTTGTGTTAATGTTACATGAAATATGTTGCAGTAACGTTTCTTCAAAATCACACCCACAGTGCAGTACCTTGTATTCCTTCTTCCATGCTTCAAAGAGCTCCAGAAACGTGTTGCCCTCTTCAGTTAGTTTAGCATCCAGACGGTGAGCTTTGGCAAAAGAGAGTATGGCTTTCAAGGCACGCTCTGTCTCACTTGCTGCCCAAAGTCCTCGGCTTGTAGTGGGTAAACGGTCATCAACAAGCCCTTCTTCATCTTCTATCATCTCCTCAAAAATAGCCATCTGACCTTTCACACTTAAATATACCAAAATACACCAAGTGTCACTGATTTCTGACCTCCATGTCCACTGCTGCATTTTGATTTTCTTTTGTAGCATACTACTGTTTGCTATTGAGGGGCAGGGTGTGGAGAAGGGAGGAGAGAAGGGAAAGGGAAAGGAGGGAAAAAACCCCACACATGATGGCACAATAGTAGACCAAGAAACTGGATATATCAAGTAGGCAAAATAAAAATGATCCTCCCTATCTGATGGATTTAAGCATCTTGGTTTTTTTAATTAAAGCTTACTTTCGTGTTTATAACTTGTTCATAATTTAACGAGCACAAAAAAATTTTGTTTCTTTTATGCCTCTTTCAATTGCTTTCAGAGCATACTGATGATAACCACAGTATGATAAGGTACCAGTGATGTAAATTCTGTGTAGAGATTCCCAGACCCCATCTACACATAATACTTACAGCATGAGTAATCACACCTTAAGCAGTCACCTGGCCACACATTCAATCAATTAATGGCATGATAAAAAGAGGAATAAGCTCTTTTTGTAGCTGGTTCATATAATGTCATTAACTCAGGGGTGTGCACCTGACTGTATCTGGCCCACAGATAAGATTTGGGCAGACAGCTCCGGGCAGCTGTTGGCAGTGGGGGAGAGGCACCATGTGGCCGCACAGTGGCTCCAGACGAACACTCTGCCCCCACCCGGGGCCTGGAGCCTGCACAGCAGCAGCTTTAACCCACGTGCGGCCACAGGGAACCAGAGTCTGAGCTGGGTATGTGGGGGAGCCACTGTGGCACATGCTGCCGGAGCACATGTACTGCATGGCAAGGACACTGGGTGCCGAGCCGCAGTGGCTGTTGGGGTGCTTTGAGCCAGAGGTGGTGGTTGGGTTGGTGCAGAAGGTCGAGCGGCTGCAGGAATTGCTGGAGGTGCTGGTGGGCCTGCCCGATCACGAGCCAGAGACTCAGCCTGGCGGCTGCTTGAACCTAACTGGGTCATCTGCTGTGGGTGGCACAGAGCTTGCATAAGGAGAGGGGTACAGTGTCTGACTGTGAAGTGAGTGGGTTCCCCTGGAATGGCTTGGATGTGGAGCAGCTTGTGCACCCTCCAGCCACCCTGTACCCACCCCCAAAGCCCACCTAGCTGGGAGACGGGGCCAATGCATGGCCTGGGTAAAGCTCATGGGCACTGGGACGGAGCAAAGGTCACTGAAGACCCACTAATACCCAGCACCTTCTCTGCAAGGTTGGGGGGAATGCAAGGAGCCCTCAACTACAACTCCAAGGAGCTGTGCAGCAGGTGTCCAGAGGGCCAGCCCTGGTGCCCAAAGAGGACAGCATGGGCTTGGCAGGCAAGCATGCTGCTGCCTGTGCTATTGGGCAAGGCTGGCAGCCAGGGCATGGGGAGCCTGGCCAGGCCCAGGGAAGGGATAGCAGTGCCTGGCTGGGCCGTGGGGAAGACCTCAAGCTCCCACTCCTGCTTTTACTCTGGCACCAGACTTTACTTGGCTGCAGGGAGCTCGTGTGTCCATGTGTGCATGCGTTTCTGGTCCTCAACAGCTTACCAAAACTCGCTAAGTAGCACTGCAGCCCAAATAACTGCCCAATCCTGCATTAAGTGAGAGTGTGGCCATGGGCCCCTGGGGCTGGGAGCCAGATCAGCTAATCAGAGCTATCAGCTAGGGGGGGCCATATGCACCCCCAAGCCTTAGAGCTCCCTCCACAGGGTGAGACTAGGATTGGGTTCCCCTCACGCTGGCAAGAAGGTGTGATGGGATCTGATTCTCAATCCCACAATAATGCCTTCTGCCACACACATGGCACAGCAGGAGGTACGATTGTGTGGATCACACATTAGATCCCATCACACCTTTACCTGCATGTGTAGAGGGGCCTTTATATGCTCAGCAGTAGCCTTAAAAGTAATATATTTTTAAGTGATTCATTAGAATTCAAGACTTACTAGCATTAAAAAAAAAAAAGCAAAAATGGTGCAGTGGAATCTTTGTTCAGAACTGATACCTGATCAAAAGAATCCTTTCAAAATCAAGAAGGTCTTGGTTCCCTCCTCTGTCACACTGATACTGGAATGGGCTTTAGGATTTAGGAATGAGTCTACATCCCATTAACTGTTAATGGGAATTGTTTTCCTTGCTCAGGCACTTCTGAAAATTCCTCACCAGCCCTAAACTCTTAGTATTCTCCCCTCTCTAACTGTTAATTTATGATCTGACAGAACATTTAGATGAAAATAAAATAAGCGAACAGCCATGTTGTTGGAGGACCAGTTATCTGCATGCATGCAATCATTTACACATACAGACTATGTAGCTGAACATAGCTATCAAATTGACACATGAAGTCTGGAAACACTTTAAAGTCTTTTTCCCTGTATAATTTCAGATTGCACCCCATAAGGGAACAAATAATAATTTATTTGTTCATTTTACAAGTCCCCCCCAAAATGTAACATACAAGCAAGTGTAACGCTATTTATAAAAATGATACTTAACCTCTTTGCAAAAAAAAAAATAATGAATGATTACTTCCAGAGAAAGGTTAGATAACTCAGGATGATTTATATTTTAAGAAATTTCTTGTACTACAGAAAAAGCAGCAAAACTACTTACGTATGAGAAAACAGCTTTGACTCATAGTCTGTGAACAACTCATCAGCCTTACAGAAGACACAGCTGGAATACAAGATGTTTTAAGGAGGAACTTAGAACTTCAACCAATCAACAAGGAATTCCTATAATTATTTCCATTCTGATTAATGAAAGCACAGATGACAATTTTATATAAAGCTTATTACATTGTCACATATTCAATGACAAAGTAAATGTGAATAATTGATATCCCTTTTTAATAAAATAATCTTGGATTCTAAGCGTATAAACTGGGTTCCTGAAGGCAAAAAGGGTCAGTTGACATGCCTCCAATTGAATTATAGGTTCTTCCATATTTAAATTTCCTTCTCATTCCAAATAAGGGATGGAGATTCATCAAGACACCTCCTACTCAAGAATTTATTTTTATTTTTTTACATACTTGTTGAGAGGAAGTCTAACAGGCCGCAAATGGCAGATAGTGGCAGCCTCAATAACTTCCTTAGAAGGAGGGCCTTCTAGGTTTTTGACAGCTTCTCTTACAAGCTTCTGGAACTTCTTCACTTCTTCTAGCTGAGTTGTGAGCAGGTACTGAAGGCCTCTACAATCACGGAACCTGATAAACAACAACAGCAACAACAACAAAAAACAGCTGACTCAGTCTAATTCAGTAGTTTCACAGAGAAATGAAGCAAACTACACACCCATGTAAAGCCCAAACCTGGAAACACTATCAAATGTAACACCCACTTTTAGAAAGATTCCACCCAGTGAAGTCATTGAGATATTATAAATCCAAGATTTGCATGTTTCCAATATACAGAACTATCTTTGAAGACTGAAATAACGTGGTTTAAAGGGGAAATGACACAGGTTTTGGAAATGACAACAAATTGTAAAATCATATTCACTGATACAGCTCTGGCTATGACTAGGGCTAGACAAATTTTATTGAAAGGTAAAAGCAGGCTTTTACAAAACATCAACTGTTCAGTAAGTGTCCAAAGCTTGTTCTTACTCCCCAGCAAGTAGAAGCTATGATAGCTTAGTCATCAACAGAAGAGGGATAAAAGTTATCATAGTTTAACTTCCATTTACACTGGGGGAAAAAAACATGTACACAGGCAATATTCTATCTCCTTTTGCTCTGTGGCAAACTGTTCATATGTTCACACACTGTGGTCAACAGTGCCTGAAACCAATTAGCATTTGATTTCTGTTTATTGACCAAGATGTCCCAAATCTGTTGGTCTCAATCCAGTGCCCAGTGGACATGCATAGCTATCAAAAACCCACCATATTTATCACCTGAGTTCTAACAGGTAAAGCTTTACAACAGTATGAAGTGAAGGTCTACTTTCCCAAAGCTAAATCATTGCTCTTGATCAGCTCTAGAGCATGCTGCCAGGGGAGCATATGGAGCGCATCTTGCACTGTGATGCCCTTTCTGTAGCTATTCTTGGGACACAGTGCTTTGGATATCAGGACACTCAGCAATTTGGCACCTTTCCAAGCACTTCAAGTTATTTCCCCACCCAAGAAAACTTTTCTATCCCTAAGAAAAAGCAAGAAAAAAAATCTTATGGAGCAACATCATGAGGCTACCAGTTTAAAAGATCAAGTTAAAAAATACATATTTAGTTTGGAATTCCCTGACAAATTAAATGCTCATTCAAGAACATTTATTTTACCAACTGGATATTTAGGAAACACCCGAGCAGCATTTAAATTGAGCTAATGATGACACCTCAACTGCCAAGTATTCCAAATTTAAGAAAGAGATCCTCCTATGCATCTTCCCTAAAGTCAGTTGATTACTCTGCTATTATATTAGTACTTGCTACTTGCCTCTGCATTTTTAATGAAAATATTTAGTTCTTAAAATATTTTTCACTGCACATGATGAAGTATTTTACGAAGGAAGTATCATTATCCCATTTTACAAATGCATAAAACTGAGCCTGAGAGATTAAATGACTTGTCCAAAGTCTCAAAGCCTGTCAAACGCAGACTGTTCTCTCAGAAGTACCACAGGCAGTGGTAAGTCTGCACCTGTACATATACAACTCTAACCCAACTTTTCCTTCTTTCCATGTTCAACAGCAGCAAAAAGAAGTATCATTCTCAAATGTCACCTTTTGATAGAGCTGAGTCTCCCCTGAGTGGAATTCCATAAGACAGAATTCCTGTCTGTGCCTTCTCAGCATAACTCCAGGTTTAAAGAAGGAAAGAAAGTAAAATCTATATTTCTTTACAACCCTTCAATGGAATTACGTATGTACTAAAAAATTAAGCACATGCTTAATGTTTTATCAGAGGGAAAGCACTCAGTATCTCTCAGGATCAAGTTCTATTAATAAATTACTCTGGATAGACAGACACTGGTTCTCTGCTGTATGTGAAGAATCACAGAAATGGAGGGCTAGAAAGTAAAACGGTGACCTAGTCCAAGTCCCTGCTCAAAGGCAAGGTTAAGTATACCTAAAACTATCCAAAAACAGATGTCTGTCATCTTAGTGACAGGGATTCCACAACTCCTTAGGAGATGGCCTGTTCAGTTGCCAGCCAGTTAAATAGTTTGTAAGTTTTTCCTAGTATCTAATCTAAAAACATCCTTGTTATGAAATTAAGCATTTATACGGACTGTAAGATAAATTGGTATTTTTCTATTGAGCATTGCACACTTAGTATTTTTATAGGCAGACATTCAGATTTGCCAGCTGTATATAGATGCCAAGTTCCTGGAACTGAACTGAGGTTATTCCCAAAGATACTGAACATCAGACACTCAGCTACAGTCCACTTTACAGAATAAGTTTGTTCCACAGGTTGAAATTAGTACAGAAGCAGCACTCCTGGGGTCTCAGGACTGATGGTGTTTGAGGAAAGGGTGTAATGTGACGGGAGTGACAGGTAATAATTTCAAAAGAATTAAAAGTGGTACTGATGGGTTCTAGTGGGAAACTATCCATAACTCTGTGCTTAAAAAAATTCACATCATGAATGGGAAGCAGCAGGATTGGAAATGGGTGGACCACAACAGGGGGTCCAAAAAATACCAAGAGTGAGTCCCTAAAGCAATGAACTAAACTGTAATTCAGTTTTCTTTTGAGAGATTCAATTCTGATGCAATTAACATTTAATCATTTGCTCACTGGTTGCACAAACATGGAAAATTATAAAAATACAGTAGACAACACAAAGAAGAACATTTTAATGAATGCCTGCCTAGGTGAAAACTGAAGTTTTCTCTCTTTTGAAGTTTTATATTTACTTTCTCCTTTTAAAAATGCATATTTTAAAACTTAATTGTAGCCCAGATGTTCTGAAGCACAAGTGTCTAGCATTTAATTGCATCTGCTAGCACAAACTGATTAGAAAACTCAAGCAGACTTAAGTGTATTAATTATGCTATTTTGTAGTTATTCTCCTACTTGTCTGCCATGGAGAGTTTATTCGTTTGCTGTTTGTAGTTGCTGGTTATCTCATTTTGCACACGCTGAACAAGCTCCTCATCAATGGCATATTGTATTGCTGTCTGGATTGCATCCAACCACCAAGGCGAACCAGAATGTATCTGTACACAAGAGAGTAAATTGAACCATGAATACTCAACAAGTACTCTTCTCACTATGGCAGGAACTTTGACTCTGCTCTCTGGACCATACTCTTAAGCCCAGATTTGTAAATTTTACTGGAAGTAGCTAAGAGATGAAGACATGGCTGGGAAGTACCCCTCTCACATTTCAATTAAATGCGTGACTAGTGAGTATTTCCCAGTAAGTTTCCAATTACTTGCATACTCTTCAGTTCCCCTTTAAACATACCTAGACTGTCTATGCAAGAAAAGAATAAAGGTTTGTAGATTAGGAAACGTTTGTAGAATGTGCAAACTGAGACGTTTGAAAGCCTCCTTCTATGATGAATAATCCCCTTTTCTCCTCTACTTGGGCACAGACTAATGGTAGAAAGAGAGAAGAATAAAGGGCTTTTAAAGGAAAGAAACAAGCCTTTCTTCAAAATTAACAAGAAAAATAGCAAAAACTAAAGTATGCTTGAAAATTTAAAAGAGGATGGAAGTAAATGGAAAAAATAAGTGTATTATTTGCTGTTATTTCATCTTCCATTTTCTTATTCATTATATTAAAATGTAGTCTAATCATCAGCATTTTAGCTCAAGCGTTTATTAATCCATTATTCTTTTATATCTTCCTGCAGCAGCTAAGCTAACAGAGTATATTAAAATTATTGAGCTATTCTAGTCTAGAAGAACAGTTGCTTAGGAAGTAAATGAGGCCCCATCTGGTACAGAGCTTTTTTAATACAGCAGTAGTATCTTCAAGGTCAGTATAATATTGATTCTTATCTTAAATTTCAAGAGGTGACAGTGTAGGTATTAGGGATGTGAAAGGTTAAAAGTTTAAACGATAAGTATATTTATACTGGTAATGCATTACTGGTTAATGTTTAGTGCAGAGCAGAGTCTGGAGGGGAAGGGAAGCAGTGCAGTACCTCAAACAGGAAAATTGGCAGGGCAGGCAGGAGCGAAAAGGAAGGGAGTGTGGAGGGAGGGGGAAGGGAGGGGACTAGTACCCATAACCTATGAGGTTAAAGAGGAAAACAGCAGGCAGCCTAATAACTAGTCAATTAAGCAACTAGCTGCTTGCTCACTGGTGCTCAGAAGCCAGATGGAAGGAGGTAACAGGCTACTTAAAGTTTAACCTGTCCCCAACCTGCACTGCCTGTTTCCTCCCTCCTAGCTCGCTGGAAAAGCCCCTCGCCTGCTGCTACAGCAACCTAGCTTCCTGTGGGCTATGTTGTCTGGCAGGGCTTGCTGCTGCTCAGGTCAAAGGCCCTGGAGAGCAGTTCCCAGCAGTTGTATCCAAGCAGATGTGTGTGTGGCCCCTGGCTGCGCACAGTGCTCCAAGCAGGTGGCTGCAGCCCACACCCTGTGGCAGGGTGGGGTGGGGCAGGGCAGACACTGGCCTGGGACTCCACACCCCCAGGCTGGAACTAGGTATGTGTTATCGGTTAACCGTTTAACCAACACAGAGGAGATTATTTTTTCAAAAATATTTACATCCTAGCTACTTTTTTTTTTAAATAACAATGGTCTCACTATTACCTTGCATTTTTCCCCATGTGTCTGCTATATCCACCTGTTGTATTATGCACATGTGTGCGCAGAACTCAGTACAGTGAGTCCACATTCTGACTGGGTTTCTTATTCCTGAGTGCCCCAAGTACCTAAAATTATGTATTTAATGCTTTACATTGAGTACACCCAGGTTAAGACACACAACTGTGCTGGGTACCACATGCACAGGTGACAATAAAGGAGATTTATATAAGTAATTAGTAAACCAAAATTACAAGCTAGTTACACGAGAGAGACCTACCTTTCTCTGGAGCTCCCGAATGGTCTGCAAAACTGGCTGCAATGCCTGATGAGCTTCTGCAACTTCTGCATTGGACTTACTCATATAATGTTGTCGAAGTTGTTTAGCCTGTAAGTAAATAAGAGGGCAAATTCTGCTTTAGTTTTTTATATTTATGTAAAATTATTAAATACATGAAAGCTCTCAATTACTGTACTGCATTTGTTCAAGAATGTGGTTGATTATCCATGGTATGTATGTACTTGCCTTCACCTGTATCCAACTGTAGTATTTTTTCCCTTAAGTTCTCGGTAAGTTCATACAATTCAATAGTTATTACAATACAAGCTGAGAGGCATATTGTTGTGATAAACTAAAAACACAGGGAGACTAATGATTTCCACAAATACAACATCTAGATATACCTAGTATATTACCAAAATTATTTTACCTGAACACACAAAGTAAAAAACCCTTTTTCCTGTACTCTTTAAAAATCATTCACTAGCTACACAGCTACTACTGAGTCTGAGAATAACAAATAATTTTATACTTCACCAAAATGCTTACTTCAGCACAATAGTGAATTAAGGATGTAGAAGGGTTTACAGGTGAATATCCTGACTTGTCAGGTACCTCGAATAATGACTTTTTTTTTCTTAAAGGTGATACACTTCTGTGAGTGCAAATTCACTGTGACAAGTGGCAGTATGAAAATGTTATGGTTATCAGTTTATATAATCATTAGGTATGTCAATCTTCATTATGTCTCCAGTCCACCCATTCTATACGGCATGTTCCCAGTATTTTGCACAGGCCACTGCTTCTGGTGTTGGTGTTGCCAAATCTTTTGGGGTGCACTGTGGTGCTACAGGGCATATCAGGAGATGATTCATGGTTTGCTTCTTCTGCCAATCATATTTGTTGGTTGCATAGAGGCTCCATGATTTCATGATAAAGTTGCATCTGCCAAGACTCACTCTCAATGTATGTCAATGGTAGGTTAACATATACGCTGTCTCAAACATATTTTCCCCATATAAGTGGGAAATAAAGATGTACCTCCTCACACTATTGTGTGTGGTTTGTCTCATATTTATCTTTGCTGTCTGCATTTTGCAGTTAAGACCTGCTCTACTTTATTCTGGCTGTTCTGAAAAAATATTGTTATAGGTATGTGTGGAGCTTAATCACCATAGAGGAGCTCAAGGATCCTTGGATGACCTCTCTGATCAGGAAAAAACACCTTAGTTTCCACAGAAAAGATTCCATTCCTTTTCTTTGTGTGTCTGGTGTACCTACATGTACAAAACTTTTGTGAACCCATGTTTACTTCAACAGATATTGTGAAAGGCCAGCATACAGCAGACCAGTCACAGTTTCAGTTTAATAGTTTCTAGGGTCGGAAGGGACCTGAACAGATCAAATCCGACCCCCTGCCCTGGGCAGGAACGAGTGCTGGGATCATAATACCGCAGCCAGACATCTAT